CACACACACACACACACACACACACACACACGACAGCTATCAGATCATTATTTTTATAAATCATTTAATGATAAAAGCCGAAAAGACGATCCCATTCATTGCCCATAAATCATGGACATTTTGTCGGTACAGAGACTCAATATGTTATTATATCGGTCGATTACGCAACAGTTTGAGCGCTGTCACCCATCTGCTGTCATAACAAAGGACAGCAACAAAACTAACATACAATGAAACAAACAAACAACAAAATTGATAAACCAATAGAGACCTCACTCTTCCTCCAGGAACAGAAACAAAATTAACAGCCCCGTTTGATTTTATAAAAATAATAAGTGGTAAACCAAGAAACAAATTAAACAAACAGGCAATTAGAGACCTCAACAACACTTTTCATCCCTAAAATGAACAGCAACAATACTAAATTACAGTCCTGTTTGATTATAAATAAAAGACTGTCAAACAAACAAAGAGACAAATAAAAAACAAAGTTAAAAATATTTTAAAAAACAAAACAAAACAAAATAAGTATGACAGCTCACCTGTACTGTTTGATTATAAATTTATAAAAGACTGTCAAACAAAGAGACAAACTTTATAAAGCAAAGTCAAAAATATTTTTAAAAATACCAATAGAACAAAAAAAACAACAACCAGTATAACAGCGAGCTTACCTGTACAATTTGATAAATAAATATAAGACTTAAACGAAAAGACAAACTTAAATAAGCGAAGTCAAAAATATATTTTCAAAATACCAACAAAACAAAACAAAAAACAAAACCAGTATGACAGCTGGCTGCTCGCTCACCTGTCCGAATCAGAAAGGGCCGAGTCCCCCCAGATGAGATCCCGGAAGCGGTACCTTGGAGGGAGCGGGGGAACAACAATATCCTGGGGTAGCTCCATAATAAGAAGAACAATAGAATTTATTCTCCACAACTAGTAGATCTAGACCTGCCTCTGTCTCCCAACACACGAAGAGCATACTGCAGCCCCAACAACCGCTCACTCACTCTTTCGGCCGTGTTTATCACCGTAGCTTCCAGCGACCCGGCGTCATGTCGAATTACAGGCAGATGAGACGCCGAGAAAGGGACGAACGAAGGGGAAGGGGATCAGGGGAAGGGGTATCTTTTTCTCCGTACTCGTAGGGAAAAAACACAACAAAAAACACTAACACATCATGTATGAAAAACAAAACTGCCAGACGAAAGATGTTATCCTAAACGCGATGATCTTACTCCATGTGCCACGGTAAAACGTACCAATGCTACACGCGTCCAGTGAGTTTGTGTGTGTGTGGTTTTTGTGTGTGTGTGGTTTTTGTGTGTGTGTGTTGTTGTTGTTGTTGTGATGTTTTTTATGTCCCTGTTTATGTCGTGAGTGAGTGAGTGAGTGCTTGCGCGCGTGCACGGGCGGGGAGTGTGCGTTTAAAATAATGAGAGCTATGTGCCTTGAGGTGCGCGAGTGAATGGATGGGTGTTTGTATCTCTCTCTGGGTGCTCTGTGCGTACGCTGACCCGGTTACAAAACACGCCGCAAGATAGACAGGAGAGCGCGGGTAACGGCGCAGTCTCAGCTCTCGCCCTACCACAGCATTCTCCTCCTTTCCCAAAACTCCACATCCTTAATTTTCTGAACCCTCTCCCCACCCCTCACATCCCCCCTCCCCTCTCCCTTTCCACCACTCTTCTTTCCTTGACGTCTCAATACACCCCCTCTCTCTCTCTCTCTCTCTCTCTCTCTCTCTCTCTCTCTCTCTCTCTTTCTTTCTTTCTCTCACTCTCTCCCTCTCTCATCCCCTCTTAAGCATTAATATTCTCTTTCTAATAATTACCAACATTAACCCACAAAACGCGCTATTAGAGCAGGTAGAAGAATATTATAGTGGAGCCTTCACTCTCTCATCTCTTTTTCCATCATCCTTCTCCCTCCTCCTCTTCCTCCTCTCACTCCTCTTTCCTCCTAACCCTACAACCACAACACCCTGGCCACCACCCCTCTTTTCCTCTCCTGCCATCCATACCTCTCTCTCGTTCCTCCTATTTTCCTCTAATCATACTTTAACTCTATCCGCCTGTAGAGGGTGAGGAAGAGAGGGGAGGGGGGGGGAGGGTAGCGAAAAGGATCGATTGTTCGCAGCGCAGTCCCAACCTTTGTAGTCGCCCGCGCGTGCGTGCGTGAGCTGTGTCGCTCTCGTGTTCTCAAACTAACCGTCGGTGCGTGTTCGGTGCTAATCAACTGAGCCTGGGAAAGAAAAACAACGATGCTCATACTATAATACACGACGTATGTTCGACTCACAACGGAGTAGCCTACGGTACTAGCTGCAGTCCTACCGAAAACAGTCGTAGAAAATAATACATGTACTAATAATACGTTCTCAAATTAGGCGATGATTCCTTTGCTTTATAAATCTTGATTAAAAACAACATATTGTGTTTATTCTTTATGGCACGCTAGCTTTTCGGTTTTTTAAAAGTTGGGTAATGTGTTGAAAGAAGGTTCTACTTTTAGCAGGGGTAAATGGGATGAAGGTACTTACACAGGCCTAAGTATACTCTCATATTATTTATATACACGCCTAACCACACATATCCAACCACAGGCACACAAACACGCAAAACAGATTCACACACACACACACACACACACACA